GAGAGAGCTTTGTTTTAGTTGCGTGTCCTATGTGCATCTAGACTGACCTTACCTGATTCCAGCGGACCCTTATCTCCTTTCCTCAGCCCCCCTCTAGGTCACCAAAATGTCTTTCCAGCATTCACTTCCAGGGCCTCTTTAATGCTGCTCAGGCCTTTCATGGCACAGGGGTGGCCGGGTCCATGGGCAGATGAGAGTGTGGTCTGGTTTTACTTGTGACACTGGGCAAGTCCTTGCCATGCGGCCCAGGCACCACCCTAGTCAGGCTACCTCTATTCTCAGCAGCTTCTTAATTGATTTGCTTGCTTCCAATCTATGCCACCCACCCCCCACAATGTAAATGCTTATCACTGATCACAGCTCTCCTTAAAACTCCCAAATCTTCCAGGAACCCTGAGAAAGAGAGAGAGAGAGAGAGAGAGAGAGAGAGAGAGAGAGAGAGAGAGAGAGAGAGCGAGCCCGTGAGCACAAAATCCCCACCATGGCTACCAGACGGGGTCATCTGGTTCTCCCACCCTCTCTACATTTGCCTCACACTTTATGCCAGTGATGCTGGCCTTCTCTAACCAGTTGTGTGGCCATGGGTAAGTCCCCTTCTCTCTCTGAACTGTTTCCTCCTCTGTGAAATAGACTTGAGAATCACAGCCATTCTGCTTGTTTTGAGGTTTACGGCCACTTTTAAATGACCCTCCACTCTTCTAGGTCCTAATCCTCCAGAAGAAGTCACAAATCCAAAGATCCTCATTCTGAATATAGTCTGCAATAGAACAGCCTGTTTTTATTCTAAGGTCTGGCATTCTGAAAAATGCTTTTCTCTCTCGTTATGTCTTAACCTAGGCCAACAGGGTCTACCAAGGGAGAACATGATTTTTTTTGTGTGCCAATTTCTAAATAGTTGCACTGTGACATCCACTCTCAGTGGGCATGTTTGAGGAATTAGAAGCATCATGCCTTATCTCTGTCATCACACCCTCTCTGGAAGAATGGTACATATGCATGAGTAACATGCTTTCTCACAAAGATTCCTCCTTATCTTGATTTCCACAGAAATATTGTTCTGGGAAGCACAGGTCTGCCCATAGTGATTAATTTGTTGAGGGATGTTCTTGGGTAGTCCAGGAACCATTTTCTCAACATATTTTTATTGATAGGTATGTGTGATAGGAAAGATGGTATGTAAATACATAAAGGACTTTGATATATGGGATTAATACTAAACACAACGGAATTGGGAGACTGAGCACACTCATATTACAGTGAGTCAGCACTGTGAAAACCTGCACTCACATAGCAGAGGCTCAGAAAGTGGGGAGTTCTCAGAGGGCAGGGTAGTCAGAGAAAGAGGGTGTCCCTGAGGAGGTAAAGATTTGGAATTCCCATCACACCAGTGAGGTTCAAAGGAGCTACTGTCCTTGCCTGGTACAGTCACACACACACACACACACACACACACACACACACACACACACACACACACAGTGTTTGTCTAACTGAATTGAAAAGACACGTGAACTCCATGCAGAACGATTAATAAGATGGAGGTTGATTGGATGAGAAACAATTTTCATTGGATGGACCTGAGGAGTTGGGGTGAGGAGTGTCAGTATAGAGTTAGTTGTACTGTACTTCCCTGTGTGCAAAGCACTGCTCATGTTGGGTGGGGGCAACATCTCCCCAGCTGGAGGCACCGGGGGTGGGAGCATACCTTATTCACTGTGAGGCATCTTCACAAGGACCCCACAGTAAATAGCACCTCCCCACCCCCGACCCCCCTCCTGGCTTTTGCACACCTGGAGAAATAAACCAAGAGGAAAGGGAATCAACCCACCCCCCCCCCCAACTCCCCATGAAGGCTACATGAGATTTTAGTTATTGTATGAAACCAAATGGTCCTGCCTGCTAAGTGTGTCCAGAATTTTGCACAGGACTGGGCAGGCCTCCCCTGTGGGCTGCAATCGTGGAGCCCTGGAGAAGTGGCCCAGGAAAGCTGTTCCCCGCAGGCAGCTCTCCAGGGCCAGGCTGGGCTCTCCAGCCCAGTGTTTTCCTCCCAGAATGCACCCTTCAGGGTGTTCAGGGGAAACCCCTCCTCATCAGCCATGGAATGGGGCTGGTGTGTTTATCCCGCTAGAATTAAGCTCTGAGGTGGCATGGACCATAACATTTCAGAAAACCAGAGGATGTGATCTCAGAGATTAGCTACTGACCAGCCCTCATTTTACTTATGCAGAAATGGAGGCCCAGGGTCACTTAATCCTCATCTGAGTGATTGAAACTTAAATATGTAATTTGTGTGGCAGATACTATTAATATTGTTAAAAAAAAACCAAACAAACAAAAAACAAGACAACAGGCCTCAAGTGGAGATGCTTATGCTAAATACAACATTGCCAATTACAGTTTGACTCTGCCATAGATAAAATCTTAAACTGGTCAGTCCTCTGATCAGCACTAACTAGGTAACCTACTTGATAAACCCATCATCCCCTACGGGGAAAGTAACCTTGCAATAACTAACCCGATTTTTGCCTAGTATAACTCCTTGTTCCCACTCCCTTCCGCTTATAAAAAGTCTTTCATTTTGTAAGAGTCCTCTGAGCTGCTTTCTGTCTGCTAGGTTGAATGCTGCTTGATTCATTAATCATTAAATAAAGCCAATACGATCTTTAAAATGGACTCAATTGAATTTTTCTAAACAATATTTTTTCTGAACAAATCCCAAGGGCAAGAAAAAGACAATTCTTGCCTCTTGCCTCTTCACAATGCTGCAGGAAATGAATTCCCAGGCCCATCCTAAAAGGCGCAGTCCACTAGAATCGCAGGCCCAGGCTGCCTAAGGGTCTGACCCGAGTCTTGTCATCAGACTGTAATTTTGGAAGCAGGAAACAGGGTCCTTGGCTAACTCAGCTGTACCCACATAATTAAAAGGAGAAGTGAAATGTCAGGAGAAAATATGCATTTAATAAATTTTAAAGAGCTCTGTTCATTTTCGAATCTCCCCTTTTTTTCTTCTGCCTTTGTTCTTGCCACTGTAAATTAGTCCAAAAAAACGATTTCAGAATAGAAAAGGAGCTAGGAGCCAGAGAAGCAGTCTTTACATTTAACCTTCTTGTGGCACTATCTAAGATTTTAATTTTGTAGCATGGCAAGGAGGCAGAGATGATTTAGAGCCCCATATGAACAGAACCACTTTAAAATGAAGATATAATCCTCCACCCCTGTGAGATCTCTCTCTAAAACAACTTAAAAAACAAAGACCTTTCCCCGTGCTGATTAAAACGGACATCATTTCTAATTCCTCATGAATGGAAATATGAACTAAAATATACCAAAGCAAGGATTTACTCGTATTCACTGCTAAATCCGCCACATCAAACCCCTGGGAGGGGAGAGAAAGCGCTGAAATTAACCTGCCTGGTATATGGGAAGTATCACTTAAATGCTTTTGCAACTTCATCACCATCTACTCCCGGAAAACACTTGTTATTCAAGCCTCCTATTGCCTGAAAGTGTGCAGCTTCTGAACCAAGAAAGGAAGAAACCAACAGGGTTATTTACAAGTTCCTTCCCTCCAGTTTTAAAGACTGAGAACTAAACCTGCTGGTTACCGCTCAGAGGCTAACAACACCTAGTGAATTAACCCGGCCCTGCGGGGGTCGGCTCTGTCGGCCTTCTGCGCCCCCCGGCGGGTTTCTGCGGTGGTGCAGCCCGGCCACTGGCTGCGGAAAAGCGCCCCGGCCCGGCAGACAGCACCGCAGGCTGACGCTGTCCGCGCGCACCAATCTTGGCGGCGCTCCTCACTCGCCTCTGTCCCCATCAGCGGACGTCAGGCTGCGGGAGAGGGGATTCCAGGGAGGCTCCAGAGCGCAAGAACTCAGTCTATTGTCAGACGGCGCCAACGCGGCCACCCCAGCCTGGGCTGGGAGCGCACGCATCTTTGGAGCCTTCCGCGGCGGTGCAACTCCCGGAGCCAACTTCAGACCAGCCCGTGGACTCGGTGCAGGTAGCTGGATCCTCCTGCCCCTCCGTGGATGGGATGGATGGCTGGGACTGATGGGCCATTTCGGATCCAAGTGAAAGTGTTGAAGTGCCTCGCTCTCCTGGTTCCTGTAGGCGCGCGGGGTGCCCCGAGATTGTAAAGTGCCAGAGCCCATGACCCCCGGGACCAAGATGCGCTTTGGAATGCCCGAGGGTGCTGGGTTGGGGAAGTTCCCCTCGGGAGGTGTCTGGGCCCGGAGGACCCCGCTGGAGGGTTTTTGGGAACAGCGGTTGGGCGTCTTGGAGGCAGATACTGAGGCGGGATTTCTTCTAGAAGGGACCGCTGGGCTGGGGTCCCGCGGAAGCAGTTGCTGTGGAAATTCGGGGGGTGTGGTGGGGGATGGTTAAGCGTCTTAGAAACAGGAGGTTGCAGGATGGTCCTGAGCTGTGGTTTTCCAGGCAAGGGCTGTCCGGGATCTCTGGGGGGAGTCACTGGAGAAACGTTTACTAGGAAAGGCTTGGGGGTCTTGCGGGAGGTGGCAGGGCTGAGAGTCCTGGGGGTGGGTAGCTAGTTTGGGGATCCCTGGTTTCGTAGGCGTCCCAGTCCTGGGGCAGAGTGGCTGATGAGGACCCTTTCCTCTCCTCTAAGCGACTGAATCTCTGAAGGAACTGGAGGTCCGATAGATTCGCGGTCATTTCCAGCGGCTCGGAGGAGGTACCTCAATCAGGGATTTCTGGGGTGGCGATCCCGGGGCCCGCAGTTGCACCCCGAGTCACAGAGGATTTGGGGTCCCGGGAAGGGGATACCCGCGCAGCACGTGCCTCGGGAGAGAGCCGTGGCGGTCTTTTCAAGGCACTGGGGGGTTTGTTTCAGGGTCCCACCCGGCAGATCTGCCCTCGGAGTCTCCGGAGAGAAATCGGAGCCGCCCCCAGGCGCGCCAGGAGGCCCCCTGTCGGGCCCTACCCCGTCGGGCCCGCCCCATCGCGTCACACTGCATCTGACAAAGCACCCGAAGGCCACGGCCATGGAGGGCGCCCTCGAGGCCAACTGGAGCGCCGAGGTGGTCAACGGGAGCGCGGCGCCGCCCGGGCCACAGGGCAACCGCACGCTCGGGCCGCAGCGCAACGAGGCGCTGGCGCGCGTGGAGGTGGCCGTGCTGTGCCTCATCCTCTTCCTGGCGCTGAGCGGCAACGCGTGCGTCCTGCTGGCGCTGCGCACCACGCGCCACAAGCACTCGCGCCTCTTCTTCTTCATGAAGCACCTGAGCATCGCCGACCTAGTGGTGGCTGTGTTCCAGGTGCTGCCGCAGCTGCTGTGGGACATCACCTTCCGCTTCCACGGCCCCGACCTGCTGTGCCGCCTGGTCAAGTACTTGCAGGTGGTGGGCATGTTCGCCTCCACCTACCTGCTGCTGCTCATGTCGCTGGACCGCTGCCTGGCCATCTGCCAGCCGCTGCGCACCCTGCGCCGCCGCGCCGACCGCCTGGCCGTGCTCCTCACGTGGCTGGGCTGCCTGGTGGCCAGCGCGCCGCAGGTGCACATCTTCTCCATCCGCGAGGTGGCCGACGGCGTCTTCGACTGCTGGGCGGGCTTCATCCAGCCCTGGGGGCCCAAGGCCTACGTCACGTGGATCACCCTGGCCGTCTACATCGTGCCGGTCATCGTGCTCACCGCCTGCTACAGCCTCATCTGCTTCAAGATCTGGCAGAACTTCCGGAACAAGACAGCGGCCGAGGGGGCGGCCAAGGGGCCCGAGTGCACGAAGGCGGGCAGCAGGGAGGGAGCGGCCCTGGCTCGAGTCAGCAGTGTCAAGCTCATCTCCAGGGCCAAGATCCGCACAGTCAAGATGACCTTCATCATCGTACTGGCCTTCATCGTGTGCTGGACACCGTTCTTCTTTGTGCAGATGTGGAGCGTCTGGGACGCCAACGCGCCCAAGGAAGGTAGTGCGGGCTGGGAGACTGGGAGGAGCAAGCACACTGGCTGGGCAGGGCCCTGCCTCTGCTGCCTCCGCACATTCTGGAGTCTAGGGCCTTCTTGGGGGTGGGTGGGTGGGTGGGTGGGAATCCTGCAGAGCTGGGTTTGATTTATGCATGGCTCCATCATCCACTGGCCAAGTGATTTGGGCATAACTTCCCTGAGCCTCGACTTCCTCTTTTGTAAAATGACAATAATGATGCAAGTACCAGCTGTCACTAGGCAGGAGGGGAAGGAAAAGGGAAAAATGCACATAAAGTTCTTAGCATGGTCCTTGGGCTGCACATGGTAATGGTTCCTTGTTACAGGCCTGGAAATGGAGGTTCAAGTGACGGTGTTTAAGAATTGTTGGGGAGCGGTGGAGGTCACTCTTGAACCCCAGGCCCAACTTCAACTTCAAGTGGAGATCCCTCCACTTTAAGTTCACTTTGCGTTGAATGTCCATTCTAAGTTCAAGTCAGCCAGAACCACAGGTTCAGGGCGGCGGGAGATGGGCGATTCAATTGGGCCAGCCGGTAGGGTGCTGGGCGGTGAGTCTGTGAGCCCTGGCTTGGTGGAGGTGGGAGAGAGGTGAGTAACACCCGGTGCTTGTAGGCAAGCCTGAGGGCTAGGGGATGTGCTGCTGCTGGGGCTGTGGGGAAGGGAAGGGAGCAAGGACCCACATTTTCAAATTTGACGGGAGATTTGGGTGATTTCTCTAGGTGGGGAACTTGCCCTCCAGTTGGAGGAATGTGGAGGTCAGTGCTGAGGGTGGCCAGGGGTTTTTGTCCTGGTTTGGCTGGTGTTTGGGTGACTGGCAGAAGAGGAGGAGAGGAAAGAATGGGGTGATCTGTGGCGAGGAAGTTTGGGGGAGCAGAGAGCATTATGGGCTGGGGGGGGGGGGGGAGGGAACGCTAGGACAGTGGTTCCCAACCTTCCTAATGCCTCGACCCTGTAATACAGTTCCTCATGCTGTGGTGACCCCCAAACATAAAATTATTTTCATTGCTACTTCATAACTGTAATTGTGCTACTGTTAATGAATCGTAATGTAAATATCGGTGTTTTCCGATGGTCTTAAGCTCTACAGCAGCGGTTCTCAACCTGTGGGTCTACACAGGGTGGGTCTCACGGGTTGAGAACCGTTAGCAGGGTGACCTAAGACCATCGGAAAAGGTTGAGAACCACTGTGCTAGGCGCTGTCTCTGGATTGCTGGGAGCTCCAGGCAGCTGCTGTCTCATTGCCACAATTTGCCAAGGGTAGGAGGGGTAGCCAGTGGCGGTGAATAACTCAGAGCTTTTTGTTTGAGGACAAGCAAAAAGTCCACTGGGATGCCAGGGACTCCAGTGTTTGTCAGGAGAAACCTAGGGGTTTGCTTTTATCTTATCTGCCTTTGAGACAGCACAAATGTCCCATTTCCTGATATAATCATTACTGCTTCCAAGAGTCTCAAACAGCCATCTGGTGCAAACTGAAATCTCCCTTCACTCAACTGGGTAACTGCTCTCTCCCCAAAACCAGACTCCTGGCTTTCCCAGCCCTCCTACCTAGCCTAGCATTATTCCTGGGCCAATTGTCTTCAGTATTTATCGAGCACCTTTGTTATGCCAATCTAGCTGTGAGGGGTAAGGTTGCTGAGAGGACTCAGCAAAGCCAGCCTGGCTGCATCACACAGTCCCTGGTCACACCTTAGAGAGGGGATTCAGGGATCCAGAGAGGGGAAGGCACATCCTCCAGGTCACACAGCAAGTCAGAGGCAGAGCAGCCACGAGGGCTGGGGTTTCCTATCCACCTCCCACTTCTTCCTGTGCTAGGGTTCGAATTCGGGAGGTAGGTTGGGCAGAAGCCAGCAGTGAGGTGTTGTAAGTGAGACACCAGGCCATTTGTTGCTGGGCAGGCTCCTGGGGAGCCCAGACCCAGGCCTTGAGGAAGTGAGGCTGACGCTCCCTTAGGGTGGATATTGGGGAGACCTGGGATCTGATGCTCCCTCAAACTCTTACTAGTCGTGGGACTTCCAGTGAGGGATTCCCACCACCCTTAGTGTCTTACGTTTTAGGTGAGGACATTTCAGCATTCATTTCATTCATTCGGCAAATACTCTGACTCCTCTCTCTTTGTAGCCTCCTCACCTCTCCCATTTATTTTCCTCAGTGATTTCCCCCCTTCTTGCTGTCTCCTTTATGACTTCCTGTTGTCCGTCCCCCTCACCTGCTCTCCTCTTTCTCATTTTTCTCCCCAAAGATTATGTGGCCAGCAAATGTCATAATCACTCAGTGAAGTGTATATTTTTTCTATACTTTAAACGTACACTAAAAAAAAAAAAAAAAAAAAAAAATACTCTAAGTTGACCTGACCAGTGTGTTCAGTGGTTAGAATGTTAGCTCTCTCACCGAAGTGTTGTGGGTTCATTTTCTAGTCATTTTTAGTCAAGGGCATGTACCTGAGTTGCAAGTTTGATCCTGTCACCATGTGGGAAGCGACCTGTCCATGTGTCTGTCTCTGTCTCTTTCTCTCTCCTCCTCCTCCTCTTCCTCCCTCATCCTTTTCATCATCATTGCTGTACTCCTCTCTTCCTCTTCCTCCTTCCCCTCCTCCTCCTCCTCCTCCTCCCTGTCTCCCTCTCTCCTTCCCTTCTACTCTTTCAGAAAAAGGAAAAAATGTCCTCGGGTGAGGATTAATATAACAACAAAAAGTACATCAAGCAATTTATTTGTCTGTCTTAAAAACAAGACACAGGGAAAGAGAAGAGAAAGTGCCCCTGGGTGAAGTGGGGGCAGAGCACTCTGGTCCCTGGAGGATGTCCTGGGCGAGGCCTCCGTAGAGATGGGCTCACGCTCCGGCTCCAGGAGCGGGAAAAGCAGCTCTGAATCGGAACCTCAGGTCTTTCTTCCCTTTGCTTCTTTGCTTTTTCCTAGTTCAGGGTGGGTCTCACATGAAAAGCCCAGATCCCCTGGTCCTCCGGGGCATTCTGTCCTGGGTGCTGGAGAAGAGTACAAACGCAGACTCCAGGGCTGCATGGCGACATGTCGACAGCACCCTCCTCCCCACCTGCAGCGTGCTGCCAGGAGCGGGGGCCAGCCCACGTGGGAGAGGCCCACCGAGCACAGAGGACTCGGGCGCTGGCCACCAGAATACACAGCCTGTGCCCACTTGACATTAATCTGGATAATTGCAAGTAGCCGGCTGGGCCATCAGAAATGATGGTATTTACAGTTACCTTGGAGATATGACTCAGTCTAGAAACTATCGCCAAGCGTTAATGAAAGGATCAAAGAGAGACCGCTCTCAAGTTACTCAGGAAATGTTGATCAGCAAAATGGAAGCAGTGCACAGCCCTGCTGTCCAAGAGGAAGGTGATTTACAAGAGACGCGAAATACCTAGATCGGGGCTCCTTGCTCTGCTTATTGCCTGGGAGTGGAGAAGGGAGCTCAGGGAGCTGTGGACAGTGTGACATTCTTCAGGGAAATCCCTGGACAGACAGGCTCAGACTGGGGCAGAAGAGGCCAGACGAGGGATCTCTTCCTGCCAGTAGCTTCATCTGGAAAACAGAACCAGAAGCAGCTCCAGAGCAGAGCGGTGAGGAAGTCATGCTGGCCTTGGCAGCTGGTCCCTGGCCTCTTGGAGGATATAAGTCCCTGCCTCCAGCGGGGCTCACTCTCAGGTGTTCTCTCCAAACCCAGGCGCCCCTTTTACCGTGCTCTGCCTTGACCGCCCTGTCCCCCAACCCCTACACCTTCATTCAAACCAAGGGCCGCCTTTATGGGCTTAGAGCTCACCTTATTCCAAAAATAATTTGAGGTGGGGCGCTAAGATTCATGTATTGCAGCAAGACAGAGTAGACACAGTGAAACTTAGATGAAGGGGACAAAAGAGTAATCACAGTAATAATGATGATAAAGTCTGTGTGGAGGTGAGCTGCCACAGGGCTTCCTTTCCCTAAAGCCGAGCTAAGAGGAAAACCCAGTTTTAATATTTCCACTGACTGGAAGAAAAAACGAGTGATAAGAGTGATAGCAGACTGCCCTGTCAAGCCTCCAGGTATCGGACAGGTCACACGGTGGTAATTTAATGAGTTCCCCCTTTAAAGCAGCCACACGCTGGAGTGCTGACTAGGTGAGCCTGGGGACTGCAGGAGGGCTGAGACCAGACACCATCCATGCAGGTGTGATAAGCCCCACCTGTATCCTTCAGAATCAAGTCCCACAGCCACACCAATCTTCCCCCTTGGACTTGCTGAATAATAATAATAATAATAATAATAATAATAATTATTATTTTGCTGCTGGTCCCAAGAACTCCAGCCTTGGGATAGTTCTGAGGGAGGAGGTAAAAAGGCCATGTCCATTTTTTCAGGGGTTGGTGGATGCGGATTGAGTATGGTGAGCTGATTTTTAATCTCTGTCCCAGGTTCTTCCCTTCCAATGTGTCCCTCGTGAAATGCCCACTCCAGTTTGTAGATGAGCCATATTCATCTTTCGGAATAGTCCCTTTTCCTCTCGAACTTGCTGATTTCCACAGGAACAAGCAATGCCCAGAGAACAGAACCGGGCCCGGGCTCCCTCGTGCAGGGAGAGGGCAGCACGGCTGGCCTGCGTTTGGAGGCTGCTGGCTGTTCCCTCCTGTGTGTCCTTGAGCAAGTGGCTTCATCTCTCTGATTCTCCACTTCCTCCTGTGCATAGCAAAGGTAGCCAGCTCGTGGAGTTATGAAGAGGACATGCTGGGACCGGTGGCACGAGGGGGCCACGGGATCAGGGTCACTCTACATGTCAAAGGTCTTGTTTGCATGTTTGGGGTTGACTGGGATTTGGGCAGTTATTCCTGCGGGAGGGGACGAACACTTTTCTCTTGAGAGCCTGGGTGGAGGGGGAAGAGGTGCAGGCACAGCCTGCTGGACAATAGGCTCTGTGCCCAGGCAGGTTGGTATGTGGAGGAGAGACTAGTGAAGACTGGCGAGGTGAACTGTGAGCCTTGTCACAACGGGGATA